AAATAACTCGTAAAAAAAATAAAATTAGCGCAAGATCTTTGGTTTTAATATTGCACACCATGTTTAGTTTCAAAATCGGTCGATGAAATATAAAAAATCAAGAAGAGTCAACTTTGGGTGGCCCATTCATTTCATTGAGCGCATTTTATACAAACAACTTATTGAAATATTTTACGAAATCAAGAAAAATATTTGGAAAAAAATTCGAGCGAAAAAATCAAAAAGTAAAGTGATTTTAATTGCTATCTATAACATGTATTAATTTATCCTAGAGCGGCAGCTCTACAAAAATGAAATGTCAAACATAGGCGTAAGAGCAAAAGGGATAGTTATGTGAACTTTGAACATCAAGCGCGTCTGTTTGATTATGACACGTCATTTTATTTTTTTCATCGTAAGATTGCAGAAGTGAAAAGCCAAACAAAATTTATTAATTAAGAGAAAAAAGGATCCAGTAACTAATGGTGCGGCCGGCGGAAATCCTCGGACTGAACCCTCCGCGAGGGTGCCGGCTGGAAATGGGCACTACAGAGTAATCCCGTGCGATGTCGGGAGGGTGTCCAGCTAAGATCAGGGATCAGTGCTGTGTGCTTATGCGTTTTCATCGCTATGTCATACGGAAATGGTCTTTGATCGTGGTCTGGAGGTAGGGGCTGGATCAAGGCGTTACGCGTACCGTACTGAGGATCAGCCTGGCTGAGAGCCCCTAAATAGCCCAGTCGCTAACGGAGCCCTCTGGGAACCAGGCCGCACCCGGTTTCATTCGATGGCCTTACCCTGGGTACTGCGGATCTCTGCCCGGGGCCGACGAACCCTTTCTCCGCGACTCGTGGGAATATGAGCGATTCAACAAATAAACTAAAAACAACAACAACGGAAATTGAGACCGGCACTCATAAAAAGTAGGAAGGGCAGTGGCCCAGACACCATGGGGCCCATGCGATGCAGGGTCCCTCTACTAGCCACGACGTGGCCAACATTACTGGGGTACGTAAGCCTCTGGCGATGCCGGGGTCAGGCGTATCCACAAAAGCGGAAAGGAAGAGGGTGGGGGAACCGAAACGGGATTTTCCCGGCACCAGTGAAGGCAAACCTGGCTTGCAGCTTGCAGCCCCAGGGGGCGCCAGAGCTGATGCGCGGGCCCCGCCTCCCCCTACTCCT